CCCCCACATCACTTGAGGTGTCCCCTTGTCCCTTGGGTGACACCCCCATGTGTCCCCCTCATCAAGCTCTCCAGAGCATCACCACCAACCCCCGTCTCTACCAGATGCTTCCACATTTCAGAACCTTCATCTGGGAGGGGGTGAGTCCCAGGGCTGTCCCCAACATGTAGGGGGACAAAAGTGTGTCCCCAAAGGTGGGGTGGCCATTATGACAGACACACACACACACTTTTTGGTGTTCCCCTTTCCCCCAGGTCCATGTTAACATGGTGCAGCACAGCCTGGTGCTGCTCATCTACCTCATGGGGATGGCGAAGGCTCTGATGGACACCCCCCACCTCTCCCTGCAGAGTGTGAGTCTGGCCTAGACAGCGAGGACACGGCGTCTGCCAGAGGGTGTTGCCGGGGCTGGCGTGGCCGGTGCTGCCTCTGTGCTGCCCCGTGCTGTGTGCGGTAAGGGTGACACTGCTGGGCTCTGCTGGGCTGAGGTGGCTGCACATCCCTGTGTGCCTCGAACCAGATGGGCTCTGCCACACCCACATGTGTGCTGCTGCCTGGAGCCGTTCTGTTCTGCGGTGTGCGAATTTTGGGAAGGCCCTGGTGGCAGAGGGCCGCGGAGAGCAGGGGGCAGTGAACTCCCCCCAGAGGCTGTGGTGCCAGGCTGGGTTTTTCCTGCTGGCTGTTGGCAGTGCTGGGGCCGGGCGCTGCTGCCTGAGCGGGGCCTGCACACTCTGTCCCGCAAGCAGAGCATTCAGCAGGGGTGTCCAATCACATCTTCTGCCTCCCCTCCCGCTTGGAAACCCCCATGTTGTCCCTCCAGCTCCAGGAGACCACCGTGCCCAGCCTCTAGAACCAGTGACGCTGCCATCAGCCTCACTGCCAAGGGCACCGCGACCCTGCGGGCACTGCACTGGCTGCTGTGCTGGTGGCCACGACCCCTCAGTTCTGGCCACTGGCACATGCCGCTGGCAGCGATGCATCTGCTCCGTCTCCTCATCGTGTTGGCCTTGAGTGTCTGTGTATCTGCCCTTTGGGATGCAGCATCAGTCTTTGGAACACACACACGGGGACAGCAGCAGCCATGTCCGTGAGGCTGCGACAGGAGAAACCTCCTGGGGGCGAGTCCCCCAGATTCAGCTCTAGTGGGACTGAAAGGAGAAATCCCCCGTGCTCAGAAGTGCCCTGGCTGCTCACTGACAGAACGGGGAAGGAAACCCAGAGAAACTACAGCAGAGATCTCAATGAGCAGAGGCAGCACTAGTGACGTGTAAAGGCAACAGCAAGGGCTGGCAGCTGGACTGGTACTGTACATTAACTGAGCTGCTGCTAACAGGAGGCCAGGCCAGCAGGGTGCGAGCTCAAAGCTTTGTACAGAAAGTTCTTTACTGATTGTTTCCTCCAGTAGGTACCATTAAAGCATCTTGGCAGGTCCCTTGCTCTGCAGGTCCCAACATGGCTTCTCCCTCCTGGACAGCTCTGCCTTGAAGAAACATGCAGTAACTCTTGGGGCCTGAGAACATTCCCTCTGCCAAGGGCAGCTCTGAGCAGCCCCAGAGATCCAGAGAAAAGGGAAGAACAGTCCCACGGTGCAGGGCTGAGGCAGACGGGGTCTTCTCTTCAGGGCAGCTCCTCTTCACCCAACAGATTGTCACCCTCCTCGTGCAGGTCAAAGCTCTGGGAAGGAGCAGGACAAAGAGCTGCTGAGAAGTACGAAAACAACAGCTGCACTCTGCTGTGGGTCTGTCAGATTTGGTCTGGGGCAGCGTGGGCTCTTCAGAGGGTCCCACCTCAGCCCTTCCCCCAGACACCAGCACCACACAAACCCCGTGGGGTCACCAGCACAAGACCAAGCTTCCCACCCCGCAGAGTTTTACCCTCTGCCCCAGGCTCTGCTTTCCCCGAGGGAAAAAAGAGCAGAGCTGGGAATAACTGAGGAGCAGTGCAGGAAGTGGAGCCTTTCTTACCTCCAGTTCTCCCTGAGTTCACCCAGGAAATCTGAACTCTGTCGGTGAGCAGCTGCTGGGTGATGCGTCCCTGAAGAGCTGCTGGGAAGCAGAATGCTTGTCACTCTGAGCAAGGGGCACTGGGCTCTGTAACACACAGAAACTGCTCCCACACTCCAAGAAAAAACCCCAAACCTCTGCAACTCCCTGCAGCAACCAACCCTCACCCCTCTGTGTACCCCAACCCCACACATTTCTGTAGGTCCTACCAAATCCCCCATGTCCCCCACTCATTCCTGCAGGTCCTACACAAACCTCCCATAATCTCCATGTCCCCCACATTCCTATAGGCCCCACCCAAACCACCCATATTCCCCACCCCACCCATTTCTATAGGTCCTACAAAAAACCCCACATATACCCCACTCCTACACATTCCTGTAGGTCCTCCCCAAAACCCCCCATCCCACCACACCTCGAGGATGACTCAGGTGGAGATGGTGACAAGGAGGGGCAGGATCTAGTAGGGGTCATCTCCTGTGGTTGGGGTTTTTTATACAGTATAGAACGACGTCACAGCCGGCAGTGGCCTCACACTCCTCTGCCACTTCTCCCTTGATGTCGCCAGCCCCTCCCTTGAAGCGGCCCAGGTGCTACCGAGACTTGGCCTAGCTCATCGAGAGTGTGTCTCGGCCAGGTGGTGAGGCAGGTGGTGGCAGCCAAGAGGAAGCAGCTGGGGAGAGCTCTGGCAGCATTGCCTCAGAGCTATGAGCAGCAGCCCCAGAGAAATGACAAGCTCACCCCAAGAAGAGCTGCCAGCATGTTCCCTGTCG